GTTCTTGAGTTACCCGTCCACGGTAATCGAAATTATGATTGAAATCTTCAACAAAACTAATACATTCTTTCCAACATGTGTAAACTAAAAATTCCTGTAACATTAACGCAGAAAAACCACTGATTTTAAATCATAAAGAATTACAGAAGTAACATCAATATCATTGTGCGTCATTAGTGTCACTTAATTAGTAATTGATTTCGAAAGCGTCATATTAAAAGTATCTAAAATATCTTTTAATAATCTTAACTAATGCAACAATAAACTTAATCCTCATTAACATCTGTGAATTAATAAATTAAATAATATTTTGTTTATTCTCTTGAAGATTACTTTTACGTTTTGTGATAACACTCAAAAGTAATAATCTAATTTTTAGCAATTAAAAGGAAATGTAACGATAGTCATCGTTCTCGTAAAATCTATTTCAGATTATATATCAAGAGAACATTTTCAACATTACATGAAAATATTTTTGATATCAAAAAGCATTAATGTAATATCCATTCGATTGTATTATTGATAACTGATACTGTTCCTATTGCAAAATTTTATAGTTTTTCAACATCTTTTACCTCTTCCGTTTTCTCATTCTTTTTTATCGAATTTTCATCCACGCTTACACCATTAGTGATATTTTCCTGTTTTACCTCGCTACAGTTTGCAGTGTCTTTTGAATTTTTATTAGAGCAATCAATGCTCTCATCTGTTCTTTCACTCACGACTGGTGTTTCTTTTATTGACTCGTTGCATGCAGATTGATTCTTAATCTCTATCACAGAATGTGTTTCAATCGCCAACGAAGGAGCAACTTGATCGATTGTCGTTAGTGAGCTTCGTTGTTCAGTAACTTCATCTTTAATATTATCACAGTTGTCATTTGCAACCTGTTTGCTGACTTCTTCTGATGATTGTTGGTTATCGTTTCTAAGAGGAGCGCTTTCTAGCTCAACAATACCATCGGAAGCGTTATTACTTTCGTTAAGCACAAGTTCTTCGTTAACTTGTTCCAATGTCTGCTGATCATCTTTGCTTGAATCAGCTTCTTCCAGCTTAACGATATCATCAGCGACATTGTCGCTCTCATTTGGCACAAGTTGCTTGCTGACTTGTTCCAATAATTGCTGATTGTCTTTGCTCGAAGAAGCTTTTTCTAAATTAACGATATCATTGGGGACATTATTGCTTTCGTTTGGCACAAATTCCTCTTTAGACTCAACATTACTTGGAACCGATGCCACGGAAGACGTATTATTCTCTTGCAAATCTTCTATTATGTTATTCACAAGTAACTGTGAACAGTCAGCTTTGCTTTCGAAACTATTTATATTCGTATTATCTTCAGTCATTTCTCCAGGATTTTCTACACCTGATAAAGAAGATAATGAAAGTTCTTCCGTTTCCTTTTCCAATGTTATTTCGTTTGTAATCTTATTTTCAGCACTCTGTTCCGCGCTCTCCGTATTAAGTGTTTCAGTCTGATCAGATGGCAGGACAGATTTAGATATTTGTGGTGTCGCATTGTTCTCTGTTACAATATTATTTTTTGAATCCTGATCCATGCATTCTTGAGTTTCATGTTTCCTAGAGGTATTCTCGCTTGGAGAATCCTGCTTTGTTGTATGCAGGATCCTCCTCACGGGCTTCGGCGATTTAGCAGAAAAAGATTTTTGCGCGGAAGATCTGAACTCACCTTCATGGTACGTCTGAGAATTAGCATCGTTATCTTCTTTCCTTAGATCTTTTCCCTGGTAGTACGGGTACTTTGACTCGCTATCCTTCTTCCTCAATGACTGAGACCTTTTTACATTAGGAGATTTTTGATTATTGAAGTAAGTTCCTTTCGACTTATCTTCAAATGACTTTTGACGAAAGAAGGGTTCAGCTTCGAACATGGATGATTCAGCATCTGACTGACTACTGTACGTAACTCGGGACCTCTGTCGTGGACCAACTCGTCCTGTTCCAACTATGCTCGGCGAGTTCACTAAAAGCAATGATGGTTGTGATTGTATTTAAATATATTTAAATACAATCAATATTCAATATACAATCCATACAATATTCTATTTAAATATATTTAAATACAATTTCAATACTTTACGATGAAGATTATATAAAAAGTGGTACCTTTTACGCTCATCATTGGCCCTTTTGATGTACTGCTTTGATTAACCATGACCTTGATACTCTTGTCAGTTGCGATAACAGTTCTTCCTTCAGAAGTTGGGGATAAAGGAATTTTTGCTGGCATTGCTGTATTGTTTCTATGTTGATCATATGTATTGTGAGATCGGTTCTCGTAACTACTACAGAAGTTCTTCGACGAACCACGATGAGAACCACGACCTCCACCTCGAGTATGATTAGCATATTCATTATCTGTAAAGAATACATTCTAATATTGCAACTGCTACAGTGTTAGCAAGATGAATGAAAGATGATACATACTATTGGTATAGTATCTCCTGTCGGAGTCTTTATGATCTCTTTTTGTGAAGTCCGCCAACGCAGGTCTTGTTGCTTTCTTCGTTACATCGTCAATAATATGCATCTGGAACGTAAACGTAACAATTTTTTAAGATAAATAAACATTAAAAATATTTTATGATAAATGCATAGATCTTTTAAATGAATATGTTTGGTCGAGTAGTCTGCATTATTACGATACACAGGGTGTTTTGGGATGGATGATACAAAATGGTAGGGGATGATTCTACGTGGAAAAAAGAATCGAAAATATGGAAAAAAATTTATTGAAAATCGAGTATGAAAATGCACTTAAAAAAATCCTATAATGTCCTTACAAAATTATGTAATCTGTGACATGCTTTTATGACAATAACAAAATTATCGTAATGATACATCGTACGATACTAAAAATACGATCATACTTTATCATTATCCCATTCTCTGCGCCAATTGCCTTCCGCCGTTCTTTGCCTGCTAATGCGGTCTTCGTCGATGCGATTCCGTTCTGCTCTCCACGCATCGTATCCTGGTTGAGATTCATCCCTGTAGTTTCCTTTATATACTTTATTATCCTGTGTAAAGTTAAAGTTCTTTACATTTTATAAAAGCAACCAAATGTGTAGGAGTAATATTATTACGAACTTTCTGTATGCTCTCCCTTCCACCAGTTTTCTTTTTAAAATTGCCCCTTATTACTTTATTGTGATATCTATTTCCAGAGGTTTCTTTAGAGTGCTCCATGGCTGGTTCTTCTCGTTCAGAATCTGCCAGGAAATTGTATTTAGGGTCTGGTGGTGGCCCTTCTCCCTGCAAAGTATAATATTTCAAATTCTATGTTATTCTAAAATTAAATATGTATAATTGAAGTATATTTCCAGCATAATCTGTACTTTTAGACTTAATATGAAATTTTGGTATGTACTTGAGCAAATGAATGTATTCTCTTTCCCTCAACAGGATGAGTTTGTGGTATGTATTCTTGTTTTTCTTTGGCTGGCTTTTGTTTGGCTTTAGGTGGATTTGAAAATTCTGGTGGTTCCTTTCTCTCTGGCCAATCCGATGATGGTACCATTTGCACCAAAGCATTTAGTTTTGCTGCATTCTTTTTATCCTCTTCCACTTCCTGATAATGAAATTCATTTATAGAACAAACATAAAGAGATGTATATTAATATGATATTCTGCATATAACATACTCTTCATTTTCATTAAATCATAATGCATACCTCATGTCTTCTTCTAATTTCTTCATTTTGTTGCCTAATTTTGTTTATTTTTTCTTCAAGTGTACTGGATGCCATCTGCAATATCAAAATTGAAAAAAATTCATATACATATTTTTAAAATTCACTCCAAATTTTATGAAAGTGAAAAGAACAAAGAGAACAACATTTCTAAACAATACTTGAAATTGCAACTATGATGCAAACCTATTAATAAAAATTAATTTGAATTTTTTTGGGCACAAGATTGTGCCATTTAATTATAGCAAAAGGTTTAACGTGATGGAATGCCAATACATTTTTAATGGAAGGTACATGATCGAATTAACATATATATCAAGAGTCAACAAGCATGTGCATGTACATTATCTATACATACATTTCGACCTTATTTTTACTTTCGACCTTCTTTTTTACATCATTGATTTCTTAATTTCGACGTTTATTAAACTTCAATAATTTTTTTTATCTGCCATAAACTAATTACTATACAATTTTGTCTACAAATAAATTTACCAATGACCTAAAAATAAGGCAGGAACGTATAGATAATATATATACACGAATATATTCGTTAGACTATTGTCATTATCTTATCGTGTTACAACTCTTGTTATGCAGCGGATAATAGATGAAATACACATTAAAAATCTACATAGGTTAAGTACAAGCACAATTTCTCTATAATTCTTTTTGCAGGGAATGCGTGTATTTCCGCGTGAAATTGGTTTCAATGTAACGACATAAGTACATTAATAAATAAAAAATAAACGTACGATTGCAGTAGATAGTGGACGCTGTCAGAAATTAAAAGTTAGCACATTACGATAAGCGTATTATGTAGTTCAATTAAAAATTAGCCACATATGTCACCACTGAACACTACTATTTCAGAAACACACATTCGCGAAAATCAACCGAACGGATGTTCTCAGTATGGATAAGAAAAATGATCGCAGTTCAGTGGCTTTCATTTCTCGATTCATAATTTTATTTTAAAAGGCCACTCAGGAATGTACAGTCTTTTTAAGAGTTAGCGTGGTTTAACGTAGAGAAATGATTTTAATTCAAGGAGGTCTTATATACAGGCTGCTTAAGTACTTTTCCAATAAAGACCAAAAATAAAGGAACCATTTATAAGATTATGTTCAAGGCTTCGCATCCAAGCTATTAATTTCTGAAATAATCTCATGAACCTCGAGCAGTCCTCCAAACTGTCGTTACGCTCCTGATGGCATGCAATTTCTAATTTGCATAGAATCCGTCGATGAGTACCACTGTCTTAGATCCATTATACCGTTGTGACTCATGCGCAGTAACACGATAAACTTGGCCTCGGTATTGTGTAGTAAATTAGATTCCTGACAATCCTGACAGTGTACTCTCTGTATTCATATTGATTAATGACGATGAATGATCGTCGATCGGTCGCGAAAAATGCTAGAATTATGAGAATTTGAAATTTCAGATTGTCCTCGCGATTTTGTAAATGTTGTCGTTCGAAGTGTGACACATGTCACGAAATCTAACCTATGACGTAAAGACTTGGTAAACACCGAAAATACAGACCATACAGATAGCAGGTGGCTTCGGTAAAAGGTCGAATGTTTACTAAAAAATTACATGTCACTTTGGTAGTGCTAAGAAAATCGCAGTGTAAAGCATTCGCGGACCCCCTTTGGAAATGAGAATAGCGAAATCAACAGTTGTCCTTCTGGTCTTTGTATTAATACTGTCGATACTTGTAGCGAATGTTGCCGATCTGATCAATGTCGACACGCACGTGTTAGATGATACCTCGTCTAGGAGAAACGGGTGGACAGAATGGTCGCGACCAAAGTTTTACAATATTGGAACATCATTCGATCATCTGATCTGGTTCTTACAGGTTTGTATTCACTAGGAAATATACACATTACCTACTGCTCGCTGCTTCAATTATTTTTTTTCTTCTCAGATATCAGACATACATATAAGCATATTTCAAGATCCATTTAGGATAACAGAATTAAAAAAGTTTTGCAATGTTACTGTGGACACCATCAAGCCTTCTGTTGTGCTTGCTTCGGGTAAGTGTTATTTAACATATACAAACTTTACAATGTTCATATGCACTACAATATAATGGTATACTACAATACAACAGGCGATCTCACGGATGCAAAAGCAAAAGACGAGAAGGGATCTAAGCAAATATTAGAAGAATGGGAATATTATAAGCAGGTTTTAGATGATACTGAAATCACTAAGAAGACTTTGTGGTTAGATGTGAGAGGCAATCATGGTATAAATCGTAATCAATTGAACATAGTTCAATATCTCTAAATAGTAAATAATTTGGATAATTATAATGCATTTTCAGATAACTTCAATGTGGTTGGTCTAGAGTCGAAAAATAATTATTATTCTAATTATTCTATTCAAGGGAAGAAGCATCCAAGGTCTTACATGTATAATATAAATGTTGGTTCTGAATTATACTCATTTATAGCAATAGATGCTTGCTTAAAACCTGGTCCAAGAAGACCATTTAACTTTGTCGGTGTGTTAGATGAGCATGAAATTAAAAGTATATATGGACTAGTAAATAAGTCTTATGAAAATAATGCAGATTTTCTAATATGGTTTGGACACTATCCTACTTCATGCATACTCTCACATACTAATACAGGTGTTAGAAATATCATAGGTAATTAACAGTAGAATGTGTACCCTTATTTATACTGTATTCTAAAACTATAATAAAATGCAAAATATACTTTCAAAAAAAAAAAAAAAACTACTTAAAATGTATTATAAGGCAGATACCAAGAAAGCATGGTGTATCTCTGTGGTCATTATCATATGCTCGGTGGAACAGTACCTAACATGTACACGCTGCAGCAAATAGGATTCCTTGAGTTGGAATTAGCAGATTGGAAAGATAACAGGATGTAAAGTATCTACATTTCATGCGTGTGACACCATTTTGATACTGTTATTGCTTCCTAATTATTTCATGTTATAAGTAAACAGTATCAGTATGGCATTGAAGGAAAATATAAATTAGATTGCTATTGTATTCATGAATTATTTTCAGGTATCGTTTGGCAGCAATCGATCATGGTCAGTTTTCTTTTATTGATGTGAAGCACGAAGAATGGCCTGTGGTATTGATTACCAATCCTAAACATACTTTATACATGATGCCCAGGAAAGAGAATTTACTGTCTCTCATTAAATCTACACACATTAGGTAAACATTACATTCAAGCATATGTTTCTGTTTATTAAGAAGATCAATTAATTATTTCTGCATTTTTTATAGAATACTTGCGTTTTCACTAGCACCGATAAAATATGTTGATGTTCAATTGGATAATGCTGCTTGGTTGAAGTGTGAACATGTTGAAGGGCCTCTCTATACCTCAAAATGGAATACGACAGAGTATAGAAATGGGATACACTCTATTCGAGTTCAGTAAAATATTATTCTTTTTCGCATGTTTTATCTAAGTAACATTTCAATTAAGTTATAAAATTTAATTATGCTTTGCATTGTCGACAATAGAATTAATTAATTATAGGTACGAGTCGTAGATACCGATGGCAGAGAGAAAGTATTGTCTCAGCCGTTTGCTCTCGATGGATCTCGTTTATCATTCGGTATTTTACCTAGGATACTTCTTATGTCTAATGCTATCAGCCTTGTAAGTATAAAACATGTATAAAATGTGCAAAGATCAAGGTAAATTTATATATAAACATATTCTTTTCTTCCAGTTTCAATTTTTGTTCGCAACAGTATTAGTCCTCTTAGTAGTTCCTTTGTGTCTATTCCGGTTCCTTCATGTGTTGTGCGAAAGTAAGTGCAATACAAGTTTCATAATTTTGTACTATGAAACTATAATTATTTTTTTGATTAGGAAAGCACATGCATCGACCACGATACCCAGTAAAGTTTGTTTATGCGTGGTTCAGAAAATTGTGGATCTTATCCACCGTTGACCGCCTTTTTTTTCCAATGGTACTTTATGCATTGTACTTAACAATTGGTAAGCAATCTATGATTATTTTTTGTTTTGTGTGCCCGAATTCTTTTTAATAATAAGTTGTTAATAAATCTTTGAAGGTCCATGGGCCATTGGTGAAATAATAGATAATCATACAGGTATAATTTTCGCTTGGGGAACATACGTTAATAATTCTTACCTTCCTGGTGCCTTTACTTACGTTTATGGATTTTTCCAATTATTTTCGTTCCATCTACCACTTATGTTTATCTTAGCTCATAGAGTGGATAAGCGGTAAGATGCAGTACGCAATATTTATATTTAATTACTTAAACTTTATTAATATTTATTACGGAACACATAATAACATAGTACTCAAAAAAAGAATTAAATACTTTTATAGGTTACAGAGTATTAATAAGCCAGATAGTAAATCGTCATCAAAGATTTGTCTTCTGTGGCAACATTTGCCAATAATTTTATTACTTATAATGCAAGCGAATATGGCTTATTTCTTTTGGTTAGCATATGGGACAACAGCTACCATATTATGTCCTCTCCGCACTTGGAGTATTTTCTTAGCAATGATATTATGGTATCAAGTAAGCATGATGCCAGAATCTTGTCTAAGGTATGCATTACATTTACATTTACAAATAAATTAGCTGTTCTAGTTTTCATTCTTTGTTTATCTTTAAGGTCCGCGGCAGCTGTATGGTCATCTCATGGTTGATTCATATCAGGCTAGACAATTTACTATTGAAATGTAGCAACTTACTAACATTTATTTATTACGTAACTTAACAATTTTCACGCTTTTGCGTAAAAGTCAGTAAATTTAAAAAAATGTATACATAGTAAGTGAGTTAATAGAAAATTGGTATAGTATCTACTAAATGTGGAGCATTTATTTTGTTACTTA